CGAGTGGCGCTCGCGCTTCGAAGAGGGCCAGAAGAGGATCGAAGACAAGCTCGACACGATCATTCGCGGAGCCGCGCGGGGGACGGGCGCGGCCGGACGGACGCGTTGGTGGGCGCGTGTTATGCCAATGTGAAACTTGGCCGCGCGGGAGGGGGAAACTTGGGCTTCACCTGTGGGCAAAGGTTTCTGCTGAGGCGCCGCGTGTAATCGATCGCAGCCTGGGCTGCTCTCGCGGCGGCGCCCCCGAAAGCGGTGCGCGCCATGCGGCGCGGCGGCGGGGAGCCGGTCCTGCGGCGGCCGGCGGCGCCCGTCGACCGGCGGCGGCGGCCCTGGTCCCTGCGGCGCGTCTGCTTCAACGGCTGCATGGCGACGATGATGGCGCTGGCGGTCCTCACGCACGTCCAGACCCTGCTCAGCCTCGACACGGCGCGCATGCGGTCCATCGTCTCCGACGTGCTGCCCGACGACCTCGACTGGTCCCTGGGCCTCGGCGGCCTCCTCGGCGGCCTCTTCGTCGACGCGGACGGCGACGGCGGCGCCGGCGGCGGCGCCGCGGTCGCGGGGAAGAAGGCCGGCGCCAAGGCCGACGCGTGCCGCGCCTGCGAGGCGACGCACGTCTTCCTCGCGATCCGGTCCGAGTACAGCCCCGGCGGCGCGCGGCGGCGCCGGGAGTGCCGCGAGACCTGGCTCCGCTGGGCCCGGGGGCTGCCCGGCGTGTCGCACGAGTTCTACGCCGTCGCCGCGGGCGCGGGCGCCGACGCCGCGGCCTTCCGCGAGGAGGCCGCGACCTGGAAAGACGTCGTCAAGGTCGACAAAGCGCCGGCGGCGGCGGGCAGGTGGCACCACGAGCTCCAGGCCATGGACCGCGCGCTGCGGCTCAAGGGCGTGTCGCACGTGCTCGCGACGGACGACGCGGCCCTCCTCTGCGTGCACCGCATCCGCGAGGAGGTCACGAAGCGGCCCCAGGAGCGCTTCGCCTGGCTGTCCTACGACTGCCGGCGGCGGCCCGCGGACGCGAAGGCGCCGACGCACGAGCTCGCGCTCAACAAGGGCTTCCTGCTGCTCACGCGCGACGTCGCGCAGCTCGCGGGCAAGCTCCAGGCGGCGAGCGGCGGCGCGGCCATCGACCTCGACGCGCTCCTGCCCCTCCTCTCCGTGACGATCCTCGACGACCAGACGCGGATCCTCGGGCCCGCGCGCGCCGCGGGCCACGTCGAGGACCTCCACCAGAAGACGAAGGCGCGGAGCTCGCCGCCCAAGCCCAAGCACTTCTGCCAGCAGTTCGTCGCCGGCCGGGACCTCGACGTCGCCTGGGCCCCGCCGACGCCCCGGCCGACGCCGCGGCCCACGCGCGCGCCCGTCGCG